TTACTCTCACACGCCTACAAAATCACTCTCACTCGCCTACAAAATTACTCTCACACGCCTACAAAATTACTCTCACTCGCCTACAAAATCACTCTCACACGCCTACAAAATCACTCTCACACGCCTACAAAATTACTCTCACACGCCTACAAAATTACTCTCACACGCCTACAAAATTACTCTCACACGCCTACAAAACCACCCTCATTCGCCTACTTTGTTTGTTTGAATTTATGCACAAAGCTACACAATAGGATGTCTGTGCTCTTCTCACCACGGGTATTGAAACCCGGCTTCTAGCGTTGTAAGTCCGCAGACACACCGCTGTGGCACTGGGGGGCGATCACCTTCAAAATTACTCTCACTCGCCTACAAAATTACTTTCACACGCCTGATATTCGTTTGTTAACTGTGCGTATCCAAATTTTACTTTACTAAAGTTATTAGTATTTTCGAGTGAATTAAGTCGTTAAATAAGTTCATCGTACACATTTTAGGCAATTCACAAGTAGCGGACAGTATCAGGAACACTTTGACCGAAGTTGTTCGTTTATTCAGGTTTTACTTTTCACAACTAGGAGGACTGAAAAACTAACGTGCATTTCATTTAGCCGCTGTGTGTTAATGTTCAGCCCCCCAGTGGCACAGCGGTACGTCTGCATACTTACAACGCTAGAAACCGGGTTTCGATATCCCTGGTGGTCAGAACACAGATAGCCCATTGTGTAGCTTTGTGCTTAACTTCAAACAATCAACCAACCGACTTAATGTTCATTAAATACTTAAGTTCAGGTAGCCTCTTAACTTTGGAAATAACAAGGTCTCTCTTGCCTTTATTTGATCTTACAGAATTGTTTAAAATTTTACATATGAAGATAACGTACAACTATGATATAACAAATACATTGAATTACCTTATTTATTTTTACAGGAAGGAGTTAGTACTGGAAAATTGATTTGTTAAATTGGAAAAACTCGTGACTTTGTAAAATTCGCCAAAATGTGTGAAATATTTTCACACAAAACTTATGTACACGTGTTTGCCTTTGTATTTATTTATCGTGTATCTATAGAAAACAGTAGGTTGGTGCCTTTCAGATCACGTATTATGGTGGAAATGGAAAAAATTATTAACTGTGATTCTCTTATATCATCTCGGATTTAGTTTATCAAAAGGCTTAGGAAAAAAAACACAAACAAACCAGCAACATAAAAAGAACCTTTAAAGTTTATTTTCACACCAAAGTAGAGTCAAATCAGTTTATCGCAATGTTTTGGGTAACCTTGTGTATTTTTTTATTAGTGTATGGACATTTGAATGTCTAATATCATCAAAATATGTCAAAAGCTATAAAATCAGAAAATTGCTTAAATCGCCATAAATGCTTTACATGCCTACTCGAAAGCTATTGCTTTAACTCGAATGAGATTCGTGTTAGTAGCAGTCCCCAGAAAGGTCAGCGGTACGTTTATGAACTTGCAATGTTAAAATACGGAGTTCGATTCCGCTAAAACAACAAAGGCAACCTGTTAGTAACTCGTGAGCTGTTTGTGCGAGGTTAATCCAGAGTGAAAAGAATTCATTCAATTAGTAGCTTTGATTAGCAACATATTAAGGAAAGAGAGTAACTCGTTTAAGTGTTGGTTTGCTTTAGCGCAAAGCTACACACACACATACCTATTGGACTATCTTCACTTTTTTCACCGTGGGGAATCGAACTCCAGATTCTAGCGTTGCAAGTCTGTAAACATACCACCTGATCCGCGTGGGTGACACTTTGTTAAAACTCATGACTGCTGGGCTCGTGATCTGGCCATATAAAGTGTACGGTATACATTTCTGAGATAAATATATTGACATAGACGTCTATGCACCTAGAACTTTCTAGTTTGCAAAGTATGGACTATCCTATTCAGTGGGCCCGGCATGGCCAGGTGGTTAGGGAGCTCAACTCGCAATCTGCGGGTCGCGGGTTCGAATCCCCGTCCCACCAAACATGCTCGTCCTTTCAGCCGTTGGGGGCTTTATTTGTGACTGTCAGTCCTACTATTCGTTGGTAAAGGAGTAGCCCAAGAGTTGCTGGTGGGTGGTGATGACTAGCTGCCTTCCCTCTAGTCTTACACTGCTAAATTAGGGGCGGCTAGCGCAGATAGCCCTCGTGTAGCTTTGCGCTATATTCAAAACAAACAAACAATACTTCGAGATTTAGCAACTGGTACCAGAATAAGTAGTTGTGCCAAAATTACTAAGAAGGGTTCCACTGTGTAAAAATGAAATATTTTCAGATCTTTACCTATTTTATTAAGGTTTGGAAAGTTACTGATACAAACGGGCACTTGTAGCACACGGAATTTACTGGAACATAAGGACATTTGCAGCTTTAGGAAGTTATTGAAACAAATGTATTTATAGTGAATTATAAGAAGTTATTGGAACAAACGGCATCTGTCCTGTTAGACGGTTATTGAAACAAATGGGCATCTGTACTATCTTGATGTTAATTAAACAAATAAGAATTTGTAGCATTAGGAAGTTACTGAAACAAACTGGCATTTTTAGCATTAGGGAGTTACTGAAACAGGCGGACCATTTTAGCATTTTAACATGTTCTTTGTGATTACATGACTGCCTAAGAAAAGCACATAACAAGTAGGCTTATTCTCGAAGAAATTGATATCTCACTAAACTTGAACTTACCTTTGTGGCCTATTGGTTACCGTGCTCAGACTGTGAATCCGAGGATTCAAGTTAGCGTCCCGTTGCCGAAAAATCTCTCTCCGAACATTGGGGTCGTGAGTACGATATAAGAGTGAACCTTGGGGTCGTGAGTACGATATAAGAGCGATAATCAAACTCCACTATTTGGGGTGAGAATTGTTGAATACTCGTCTTTCCTTTAGTCTGTCATTTCAATTGAAGGAGTCCCCTGGTGGTTCAGCGATAAGTTTACGGACTTACAATGCTAAAATCTGGGGCTGGACACAGCGAATAGCCCAATGTGATATTGGTTTAAAACA